TTGAAAATACAGTAAAAATGTATTTCTGACTCGCTTGTGACGATGATGCAGGGAAAAATGGTTTCAAATCTAACTTGGAGTGATCATGTGATCATGTAGATATGAGAAATGGTATCTCTGATAATATCTGCCAAGACTGTTTAGTTCTATAACATCAAGAACAAACTCATCACCAAATTTCTGCCTCTGATATTTAGTTTATAGTCAGTGGAGATGTAATTTTTATTGGCGTAAAAAAAGTTACAAGTCTTATGTAGATTATGTTGACAGTGAACAAAAAACAAAATACATACAAGTTAGCACTTTTATTTAATAACACATTTCAGTTGATTTAAGCAGAGTGAATTTTATATTAGCATACTATACAAATAACAAAAATGTATTCAAGGACTGTGACATCATATTTTACATTTATTTATAACTATTTGTTTGGTAGCCTGAAACCCAAGACTGACGTTTCATCAAGCGGTGTTTGTTATTTCCTCACTATCTGATGCTACTAGATTTCTGCTATAAAACTAAGAAACACAATTCTGTGTTTTATCTGTGCAGAAAGCGCAATTTACCAAATAAACAAAGAGTTTTCGTAAACTTTGTACAGTATTTGTTTCTTATGTGGACACTCGTTTTCCAGAACTGCTGCATGCATAGCATATTACACAAGCTATGTACACGTAGAATTCCTGAAGCTCCATACGCCAGTGTGGAGATTCATATGTGCAAAACTGAATATCTGCTCTGAAAGATTTTTTTAATCTGGTCCATCTAATTTACTTAAACTGTAGAGTTGACACCTACGCACCAGTAAAAAGAAAAAAGGCTTCAAATGTGTCCAAACTGCGATTTGTGTCTGAGGCCATTATATACCATAGTCTGTCCCTTGCAATCGTAAAGAATTAAATCCCATACATGGAACCTGAGCTGATACAATCATCCCAAGGCAAGATGTGACGATATTCTCCACCCCAACCTAGATCATAAAGTTACTACATCTACAATTGAACCTGGCATTGTACAGTAATGTATCAGTATATATAACTGCCAGAATGACCCGTTCTTTCAAAATGCATCTTTCAAGACAAAAAAAGTTTGATGTACGCTATATAAAATGAAAAGTAACAACATGCCTTGTCTATGTATTGCATTTAGAGTTGCGCATTACAAATATTTAAACCTGCAACACGCTATTAATACTCGTGACCACAGCTAGTAAGCAGACTCGTACCTTGCTACACTACAGTAACCATGTCCAAATAGCGTACATTGCCCTACAGTGACTAGTCAATTACAATATATTTATTTTAAGTTTTCATGATCAGTATGCCTTCTCCAGTTTCATCAAGTGAACGGCCGTGGCTGCTTGCTCTCATTCCTAGTGGATTCAAGGAGATTGGAGTGCGGCTGACAAGATGCACATTTTTGTTGATAAGCAAATTTGCAGAAATATTTACAATCAGATTCTCTCTCATCACAAACTACTGTGATTATTAATTTAACTCGTAAATATCAAAAGAAAAGTCAATATTGCATTTCTGTTTAGCCATCAAGTAAGCAAATCTGTCAAAGAGTGATTTTTTAGCTCCACTGTCGACTTTGTCTTATCATATGAGTGATTGTCCGTCGTTTTCCGTGTCAATGTTTAACTTTTTGACTTCTTCTTGAAAACTACAAGCCTGAATGTTTTCATACTTTGTGTGTATGTACCTTTGGTAGACCTCTCTTAGGTTTGTTCAATTCATGATATCTTTAATTCTCTAATTTTAGTGAATATTTTGTAATGGTAAAAAGTGATATTTTTGACTTCTTGTTGAAAACAGCAAGTCCCATTGCTTTGATACTATACATTGTTCATTTTCTAATATCTTCTGTTCTTTAATTGAAATGTGCATTGCTAACAGCGGAGCTATTTCAGCTGATAGGCTGCTTGTTTGAACATTTATTTACCGGTATTTGGGAAAACATTTTGTTAACCATGATTCAAAAACCATCACAAAACGTTGAAACTATTTTCTGATCACTTATTGTACTCCCATACAATTACAAATCACATCAATAACAGCCAATTTATTACCAAAAAACATATTTTTAACTAAATGATTTTTCTTGGGCAATTCACAGTTATACACAACATGCAAGGCCCACAGTCTTACCATGAAATAACATTTATTTTTTATTTTAATATAATTAAAAGTACACTGAACGGTGAATAAATGCATACACAAATCACTCATTCTGTCAAGAATAAATCTCTGAAAATAATACGCATGATAAGTAGGAATGATTTGTATTTAAATCTAATTAGCAGAATTAGTCAATCAGATCTTTGAATTTATAGGGTCAGAATTAAGCGTCTTTATGACAGGCTGCTTAGATGACCTTACATTACGTCGCTGGACCATTTCCTGGCATTTCACAATTTTAATATAGAAGTATGGAGGAAGGAATAATATAATATATATGTTTTAACAATATTATTGTTACTCATTTACAACGTATTGAAAATGTTGAAGTCAATTTGGACATTTTTTATGGAAACAAATGTAACTCATTTAACAACTTACGGTGATAGAGGGCGCACTTAGTTTTGCGCTTCTGAAAAGTTGCCTTCTGAGGTTCTGATGAAGTGTACACTCCCTCGTGGCCCTATTTTTGCAGGCAATGTTACAAAATAACCTACGGCGAGTGAAAAAAGTTGCTGTTGGCTGTGAATGAGATTCTGAATTGTTCGAGTTACGAAAACACCTGGTTACATTTTCACTTTTCCAAAACCACGCCTAAATTGTTACTAGATATTCAATTAACAGTTAACAAAACTTCAAGTTACTGGCAAAATACAGTTTTGTTTTTCTTTGAACGTCCACATTTAGTGACCTGAACTTTAACAGCTAACCGAACGTTGAACACACGGAAAACAGTGTATAGGCCTTCAAGTTCTAAATATTAAAATAGGTAAATATTAAAAATAAAAATTGCTTGCGTACTTTTTCCCCATGAACGAAAAACATTTCTAAAATCACTTGAAAGAGTTGGTAGAAATTCTATTGTAGAAATGTGTCGTCAGGGGGTTAGAACACTGGTTATACGGCGAAATCCGGCAAAATAAATTTGATAGACTGGTAACAGTTGTCACTATTTTAAAATGTTCAATGACGCTTGTGTAAATGAAAGGCCCCCAGATGAGATGCCAAATGTCTGGTAAAATGTTGAGGATTTGTGTCAAGTTCAAGAGCGAACAGTTTTAAATTAAAAGATGTCTAAACTCAGCTGCTAAGGAAGAATAGATGCCTTCCATTATTTAACATATACGAATAATAGTAAATCGGTCTGGAGTTCTGTGGGCAGGCCTTGATTACGGATCAGTCTGCGCATGCGAGTGTCTATCGTGATGTACTGAAGTTTTGGAGACAGTCAATCAGTGACAACACAGAAGACTGTACCGTATTTACGTAGCGATTTACCAGGTCATTTTTGAGTGCACTGGGAATGAAGTTTGACTGGCTGGATTCCAGGCTATTACTAACTAAAGTTTGACATAACCCAAAACTCAATTGTGATATCATAGATATATGATGAGACTGCAGTCCTTCTATCGCGGGACTGTGATTAAACTAATGAACACAAGAACACGAGTGTCTACCAACACAGTATATGATCTACTGTTTAGATCTTCTTTGACCTGGTATGTTATATAAACAGTTTGGTTCTTTGATTTTATATGTTTATGTGGCATTGAAAGAAGTGACCGAGTCTGTCCTTTGTGCAATTATTCTGAAATGGAGGACGAACACCATTTACTATTACTAGTAATTTGTTCATTTTTTATTAAGTTATTAGGGAAAAATACATTCCAAGATACTATTTTACATTGCCTTCTTATAATAAGTTTGTGGAATTGGTGAAGACGTTCGATAGTAACATATTACAATCCATGGCAGCTTATTTGTATCATTCCTTAAAACTAAGATATGAAATTTACAAAAACATTGAGTGACTTTACACCATATTTTACATTACAGCATATTGGGCCATACAATAAAGATCATCATCATCGTCATCATGGTTTATGTGTTTTCTTAGTCTGATATATCAGTCGTCGTCGCAAACATTTGTAATTTGGCCACCTTGTATTAGTTGAAGTAAAAGCCGAACAAAATGGTATCCGAAAAGAAACTTTCCTTTTCTGTCAATAGGGGCAGCACTTGCTCTCACCTATTAAGTGACAGTATGCCGGTCTGTACATATATAGAACAAATCCGTTAACGAGCTCATTAGAAAGCTCGAGTCGGTAAATTAACTCCAGGCGAACGCATTTGGGCAACAGGTTACCATAAATATATGTGGCATATATGTAATTCGGAAATTCATCTCTCGGGTTTGTCGTTGGTTCGATACGATACAACACGCGCATTTATCATCCCAGTACGTCTAATTTGGCTATGATGTCACAGGCAATTAAAAATGTCAGCGGAAGTGTCTATTGTTATGTAATTGGTTAATGCTTTTGCTCGGTATTAGAGTATTGGTATTAAGGCTTGTGCGTCACAAGAGTATGCATCATCAGATTCACGTCAATGTTGTGTGGGTGGAGTCACATGTCAGCACATATATGACGTCATAGAAGAGATGGAGCATGCCGATGAGGGACCTTAACTATATCTTTGTGGATTCTGCTGTCAAGGCATATTCTACTGTCTTTGCCCTCTATGGACGCCGTTAGCTGAATTCAGTACACAGTTATATGGACACGCTATAAGTATTGCAATAACTGTAGATAAACCTGCCTGGTTACACCGAGAATCGGTATTATTCTTGTGAAATAAACAATGGCTGAGTTCACTGGGACATGTATACTTGTCACGAGTTCACCGGTAAGCTATTCTGTATAGTATAAGCTGTATATTGTACACCACTCTAAACCGTCGGCTTTTTTCAAATATTTTTTTTTTTATTTTGGAAGCCAGCGATTTACAGATAGGCTAAAAATGCACAAAGGATTACAAACTCACAAAGGATTTCAACCCGTGGTCTTCCAGAGAATTTATTTGTATTGAGATATTTGAACGGTTTATAGAGGGCGTCAGCTGCGTTTGTTGACATTTCTTTTCGTATATTTTAATCCATGCTATACTGAGCCAAACCTAGTTGTATTACTAGTCTGAGGCCAAACCAAACGCATTTTTTTAAAACAAATCATCAGGCAGACACTATCTTGTCTATGCCCCGACCCGTTTACTTACTTCAGTTACTTCTTACTGTCAGTGTCTGACTGGTATATACAAAATGCGACCAAGAAAACGTCAAAATAGCAACAACAACAACAACAAAAAAGAAAGCTAAATGTCAGAACCACACCAATCTGTCAGCCATCGCCGGCCACAGAAGCGATATTATTTTACACATACAAATTAAGAATCGCATGACTATACACATTACATCGAAATGAAGACTAAATACAGCTACCCTTGCCAGCAATCGAATCGGTGTTTCCATCTATTCCCACTATCCTTAAAATAAACGCTCAAATATTCGCGATGTGATTCACTCTGGTGAGAGAAAAGTCAAGGATA